GAGAGAGAGAGAGAGAGAGAGAGCTGAGATGAGATATGTATGAATGAGACTATTGGTTGCATAATAATTAACATGTATTATAATTAATCTACTTTTAGGTGCAATAAATTGCAGTTACGAAGAGGAAGAGTTGAATGTCGATACAATGGTCCCAAAGTATGAGAGGTTAGGCAATGGCGTCGAATGTCCGGAAAAAGTGGAGCTAATTCTGGAGAAATGCAAAGAAATGGGAACAACTAATAATACGAATGGGAAATTGTGAGTAACTATATTCAAATAAATTATATTGACATACATTATTAAATTATTATGTAAAAGATTATAAATTACATTTATAAATTTTGAATTTAATTGTAGTACATATAGGGTGGAAAACTATTTAAGTGAACATATTTGTTTGGTTTGTGTTACTTAACAATTTTAAAATAACAATACAAACAGATTTTACGTAAAATTTTACAAAACAATCTTTCGTAACATTGTTTTTAAATTTTCAAATTAACAATTTACTGTTAATAATATCTTTTTTCTATTATATTTTAATTATAAATAACAATTAGTTGTTATTAATTATAATAATTATTTATACAAATTATATAAAGTAAAATATAAAGTAAATTATATAAAGTTTATATAAATTATATTTATAATTAAAACTAATAACATGTTATAGTAAACTAGTTGGCACAATACTTTATTATTATAGTATAAAAGTTTATATAGAGCTATGCGTTTCATATAAGCATCCATTTTATAACTAAATATAAATTAAGGTAGAAAATTAGTAAAATATAAAAATTAATTGTAAAACATAATATTGATTAACAAGTGCCCTAAGAGTATAATAAGAGTGTGATATAATAAAGGTATAATATCCCAACATGTTATTATATAAAGTATTTTGATTCAACGATAAAAGGATTTAGTTAAAGTTAAACCGTTTAATTATTATAACAATTCACTAATTGACCATTTTTCAAACCATTCAGGTTTTGGGATGTATTGCATGGCATTAAATATGTCGGTTACCTAAAACCCATAATCCGTGACGTGATTTTGGAGAGCCCTACTATTTCGCACTACGAGAAAGTTAATAACTACTGCAAACTGCAAAATGACACCATGTTGAAATATTGCGCCATACTCAATTCGAAAGTAGTCGAGTCGAAAAAACT